GGATTTCAAGAAAAATACTGACTTATGCTGATGCGACCTCCCATTTGTCTTCTCAGTGCGTGAACCATGTGCTCGTCCCTACGTCTCCATGCACTCTGGCCCGGAGCTCGTGGCCGGCCCGTCGTGTCTCCCACACCTGCTGGCCACGGACCCGCCTGGCACCGCGTGCGCGGGTTCTGAGGCACATGGTTAACAGAATGAAGGGAAGTGGCTGGAACTAGACGGCAGTGGATGGCTTTTGGTGGGAAGGAGTCAGAGATCCCTGGTGCAGGGCATGCAGCCCTTTCCTGTCCACGGGGTTCTGTCCTTCCACTCGGGGTCCCCTCACATCTGTCCGCAGTTCCCGTGGGAGTTAGAGCCCCACAGGAGGATAGAGAGCTAGGAACATCGATGAGAAAGAAACATCGACCAGCTGCCTTTTGCACACCCCCTACTGGGGATGTGCCTGCAACCAAGGTACATGCCCTTGACTGGAATCGAACCCGGGACCTTTCAGTCCGCAGGCTGATGCTCTATCCACTGAGCCAAACTGGTTAGGGCTAGAAAGAATCTTATTGCAGTTATAGATTTGATTTCTCTTTCTTTTGGAAACATCCCCTGATGGCAAGAGTACTTCTCCACACCCGTAAATAGCCCTTTAGCTGTGGCTTCTCACGGGCATGTCCGTTCCTCCCCGATGGACACACCGTGACCGACCTCCTGTCTGCCTGCCGTGGCTCTCCAGCTTCTCATCGCTATCAGTGACCACTCACATCCTCTTAAAAATACTTCTTAAAGGATTCCCTTGTTCTTTTAAATATTTCAACAGAAGCAATAAAAAATAAAACACAGGAACTTGCCCTTCCAATCTGGCCCTCCCCAGGTCACCTTCTGGCTGACCCATGTTACTCCCTGAACACACTTCCTGGTAAACGACCTTATTTGTGTCCACCCGTCCACTTCCCCCCATCTGAGTGCAGGGGCCGTGCCTCGGAGATGCTGAGGTGTCTGTTGTGTAAGCAAATCCGCTCGTTGGACCCGAGGACACTCGGAGGGAGCAAACAGCAGTGACGCCAGGGGCAGGGGCCCAGGCCTCCGCACCGGGTGGTTAATGATTACGGGGCCGGAGCTGTTTGTCCCCGGGGCTGGGCCCACCTGGTCCTCCGCCAGGGAAGCGAGTGAAGGAGAAAACAAGCCGGCCTGCGTGGCCAGCATTCTGCTCTCCTCCCTCCCGGGGGACCTCGCTCGCTAAGGAATGTTCCTTGGTAACAACTGTTTTTCTGGATTATTTTTCCTGAGGAAGCCGCATGCTCCGGGGACAGGAGCCTGTGTGAATAACGCCTTTGTGTGTGAGGGGCTCGCTGACCAGCCTCCTGGGAGAGCACAGGCGCTGGCCGCTACGTGATGCCCCGTCCGCCGCGGCCAGCTCATGGGGACCGTCTGCGTGCGGGAGGGACACTGCGCTCAGCTTTTAGAGGAAATGGCCCCGAGCTGGGATCAGAGTGAGCGGGTGACGGACACCCGAGAGCCTGAGCGCGGGTGTGCAGGGGGATGGCGCACGGACTCGACAAACAGAAATGGGGACAGCGCTCTGACAGCTGGAGTCCCAGCTCTGACCCTGAGGGCCCCGTGCTTCGGGCTCAGAGGCCTGCTTCTGTTTGGGAGCCAGGCCTTGGCTGCAGGCCCCCCGCCCCTGCCCTGTGTTAGGGAGGGACCCGCACAGATGCAGAATTCGGGCCGCTATTGCGACATCCCCCCGCTTCCCGGAACGCTGTGGACCGACGGGGGCAGCGGCACCGAACCTTGATCTCTTGCAGAAACATCTCTGGTCCTGTTCTGTCATTTCCTCCATAAATACAATGAGTGCAATGTTCTCCAGTTCCGTCCTTCTGTTTCCAGAATCACCAGTGCTTCTCCTGCTCCCCACTTCCCTCCCTGGTCCCAATACATTGGGTTTTTTTATTTTTAAAATTTTTTTAATTGTATTATTTGAAAGGGATCTGGCAAAGCCAAATTCTTTGCCTGAGAGACAATCACCCTCTGTCAGTAAGTTGCCTTTTACCGGGAAGGGTTAACGGGCTATGAAAACGCCCGAGTTACCCAGCAAGGGGACCCCGAGACCCTGTGGGGACCCCGTGCTGGCCTTTTCTTGGGAAGAATGTAATTTGGGGCTCTCCCGCCTCGTCCCGCCAGCTGCTTACTTATGGATGATATTGACTTTTAGTTTTCAAAAGTCTCGCTTTGGAAAATTGTTTTTAACAGCTCTCAACCACTCACGTCCTGTGTTTTTATTTTATATCACTTTTCATTGGGGATATTATTAAGTCAAATCCTTGGTAACCGCTCTCCGCAATTCAATTTCTTCTTACCCAAGATCCATTGAATTCGAGTCACTGCCTTTTCGCAAAAGGTTAACCCAATATTTCATGTTATGCTTTCTACTTATGCTGCGCAAGAGAAAAGTCACCGTGATAAGCAGCCGATAAATTGTATTCAGAATGTTTCTTCTCAAAAGTTACATTACTCTGCCCACACAGATAAGCATAATCATTTATCACAATAGGAATTGTGGAAATAAAAACGAAAATAAATGCAGCTGTCTTTCTTGCATGTTACCCAGACGTTTTTTTTTTCCTTCTTTCTTTTTTCTTTTCTGTAAATGTGGGCTACAGTAAATAACCACCTTTGAAAAATGTCATCTCTTTATGGATGTGTGAATTAATAGGAGATTAGCGATGGATCAAAGTTAAATAACTATTCAAACAAAAACTGCATTTATTTTATATGAAGAAAATGTTTTCTTTTTTTGTATAAAAATATGGTGACATTTTTAATGTTGGCTCTTATTAGTTAAGAGGTTGCATTGGCATTATTTTATCATAAGGAATAAGCCATGTAAAACTCTTAGCTCTGCTGTATGTTTGGCATCCAGAAAACATGGACACCTAAAGACAGAGTTTGAAGAAATATCATGTCTGTTATCTATAGGAATTACTAAAAGTAATTGTCACTTATAGTGGGCTAATCAAGTAAGTTCCAGTGATGTTTATTAGATGATTACAGTATACAACGAAATCCACTGAAAATAGAATTTAATGATTATTGCTTTTGGTAACAGCTTTATTGAGAAATAATTTACATACCACACAATTTACTCATATAAAGTGTAGAATTCAAAAGCTCTTAATGTATTCATAGAGTTTTGCTACCGGTACCAGTACCGCAACTAATTTTTATCACCTCTTTGTTTTGAAAAAAAAAAAATAAGTTTTTATTTTAGAGAAGAAAGGAGAGGGAGAGAGAGAGAAACAGGAATAAGAAACATTGATTGGCTGCCTCATGCACACCCCCTACTGGGAAACAAGCCCACAGCCCCGGCATGTGCCCTGACCAGGAATTGAACTGGTGACCTCCTGGTGCATGGGACAATGGGCAACCACGGAGCCACACCGGCCAGGGCTAAGCCACCCACACTTAGCAGTACTCCTCATACCCCCCTAACTCCCCAGCCCCTGGCAACCACACACTACTTCCTCCCTCCACAGATGTGCCTTTTCTAGACATTTTATTTCAATGGAATCATCCAATATGTGAAATTTTATAACTGGCTTTTCTCAGCATAATGTTTACCGTATTCACCCATGAGGGTTGCACATCCTCCCAGTTCTTTCCCTTTATTAATATCTAACTCCATTGCATTGTGCTTAGAGAACTACTTTGTGTGACTTTAACTCTTTCATTTCATCGAGGTTTGCTTTGCGGCCTCCTCTGTGGTCTGTCTTAGACTGTTCTGTGCACACGTGAGGAGAATGTGTATTCTGCGGCTGTTGAGCTGGAGTGTTCTATACATCCCTTTAGGTTCAGATAATGCAGTGTTGTTCAAGTATATTCCTTTAAAAAAAATTTTAAATTCATTTTTACAGAGACCGAGGAAAAGAGAAGGTGAGGGAGAGGGAGGGAAGGAGGGGGGCAGGGGAAGAGAGAGAGAGAGAGCAATTTGATGTTCCACTTGTTTATGCACTCATGGTTGCTTCTTGTGTGTGCCCTGACCGAGGAAGGAATTCACCATCTTGGCATATCTGGGCATCACGCAAACCAGCTGAGCTGCCTGGCCAGTGCTCACCTCTATTTCTTCTTTGTTCTTCTGCCTTGAGTCTAGGATTCTTGGTTGACAGTTTTTTTCCTTTTAAAACTTTGAAAATCTCACCCCCACTGCTTCCTGACAGCTACTATCGTGGGTGAGAAGTCAGCTGTCCAGCTGACGGCGCTCTCCGGACAGGAAGAGCCATTTTTCATTTTCTCTTACTCCTTCCCAGATGTTCTTTTTGGTGTTGACGTGTAGCGTTTTAGCTGCTGTGTCTGTGTGTGAGTCTCTCTGCACTTATCCTGCTTCACATTTGTTGAGCTTCTGGATGTACAGTTTAATGTTCTCTCTGTTTTTAAAATCGACTCTGGAAAGTTTTCAGCCATTATTGCTTTTTATACTTTTTACCTCCTTTCTTTCCTCCCCAGGTAATCCCGTCACAGTGTTTTGGTGTACTGAACAGCGCATCACATATCTTTCAGGCTTTCTTAATTCATTTAATACTCCCCCCCCCCCGCCCCCCCCCCCCCCCCCCCCCCCCGCTCTGTTCATCGGATTGCATAATCTCTCTTTAAGTGTGCTGCTTCTTTCTTCTGCCAGTCCGGATCTACTATCGAGGCCCTTTAAGCAAATTTGTCACTGCAGTCCTGGTGGGTTTTCACTCAGCTAAGACAGTGGTCGGTAAACTGCGGCTCACGAGCAGCGGTTTGCTGCTCTGTGGACTAACGAGTTTGCCAACCACTGAGCTAGAATATCACCTAATAAATGATTACGTGCAGTACGTTGATTGTGGAATCGCAGTAGCAGAAGGAGATAGCAACATGTATACTGTATGTCTGCCTTTGGGTGTGTGGGGGCAATATCAAGATAATTTTTAAGTTTATTTTTAATACCAGCATATTTATGTATGTTTATATCTTGTTTTTACTGTCTCTAGAGTATCCTGGCTTTAAATCCTCGGACACAGACTCACGCAACTCTGCGTTCGACTTCGGCCAAGAAATTAGATAAGAAACATTGGAAAAGAAACCCTGATAAGAACTGCTTTGTAAGTACCACTGATGTATGATTGCACTCTGAAAAATGATCTCGCTTTACACACTGTGAGGCAAGATTATACACTTACTTAGAAATACACTTAAGTATGAGTAAAATACAGCTGTTGTGTGTTTTTTTAAATCAAATATTTTATATTAGAATCATCTCAAACTGTATTTAATTTTACTGTTTAAAAAGATCTATGGAAACAGTTAATCATCCTGTAAATTGAGTTTGGTGCCCAAATTAATTTTCTTAAAAATTTATAAAATTTCTCTTACAATAGTTTGGATAATGACACCATGGTACAGAAGAGTTTCTGTTACTGACGTAATTCAACTGAAGAAGGGTAAACGAATGTAGAAATTCATAAAATGTGCTTTGGGGGAACATGTGAGCATGAGATGTTTAATATGAACCCATCATAGTATATCCAGGTGAGATCTCTGAGCTTCCTCATTGTTAGAGCATTGTTTAACTGGGCCCCTGAGGAGACGTCAGGCTGGGACTGTGGCACCCTCAGATGGGGTCAAGTACAGCCTCAAAGGAAACATTTACCATGCCATCTTAGGGGGTATACATCTTTAAATTTGTAAACCGATTTTCATTCAACCCAATTTCCCCAAATTAATTCTCCCACATTAATTGTCTCAAATTAGCGAGACAATAGTAAAAGCTTATTTAACATTTGTTCTCTTGGTATTTTTTTTTTTTTTTTTGTATTCTGCCCAATACAATGATTTCAATTTATTTTGATGTACTTATTTCCTTTGCCCTTGTACATTTCTTAAGGTAGGAACAATCCATTCAGTGGTAAAGTATGCAACAGTTAAATTATTTTTGAAACCATTAACAATCTGGAAAAATACAATCTTTATTCATGAAAAAGCATGAAATGTCACTGTGTTTAATAATTATTTGTGCATTTATATGTCTAAGAGGCATCTCAAACTTAACATGTTGAAAATCCAAATTATGATCTTCTCTCTAAAACCTATTCCTCTTGAGGTCATCATTACCTATCCTTCACTGATGGCAGAAATTGTCATTTCTCTCACCTTTCCCACCTAATTAGAAGGTCCTTTGGCTTTGCCTTCAGACATATCCAGACTCATTACCTGTCACCACTTAATCTTACCAGCCTTGCTAAGTCACCCGTTCTCTCTCTCCTGCATCATTCAATAGCCTTGACCCGATTTCCGCACTTCTGCCTTTTCCTGGTAGACTCTTTCTTTCTTATTCTTTCTTCCTATTTATCATCCATCTATATCTATCTATCTATCTATCTATCTATCATTATCATCTATCATCTATCTATCTATCATAATCTATCTATCTATCTATCTATCTATCTATCTATAGATAATATTTTTTCTTTTTTTTCTAGCCCTAATCCTACCTCTAACCCTAAGTCTTTCCTTCTTTTTAGATAGAAAAACTTTAATATGGGATCTGGCCATAGAGTCTCTTTTTAATAAAATAGCTGAAGAATCCTTTTAATAAAATAGCTGAAGAATCCTTTCAGCATCTGTCAGGGAGTTTCCAGCTTTCCCAGAGTTTGCACAGTTTCTTCCCAGCTCAGCAAGGCCTTCTCCAGCCGCCCACTGTCTTACATCATCCCCGGGACCACCTTCCAGAAGGTTCATTTCCTGCCTGTCTCTGGCCAGCAGGTGGAAAGGTTTTACTATTTCCTTTGATTTTCTTTGCTTTTCAAGAAAATCTCTTTTGCTTGGGCTTGGCACCGGTCTGCTTCGGTTTGGCTCAGGAATCACTGACGTGTCGCCATTTGCGGGTCCGCACCGGGCGGGGGAATGGGGTTCCTTTGAGGTCCGGGGGCGTTTTCCCGAGACCTTTCTAACAGCTCCCGGCTGCCTTTCTCCTTCCACCGGGTCCTTGGAGCGGCCGAGTTCCAGGCCCTGCGGTGAATGCTGCTCAGAGCTGAGCAGCCTGACATGATCTAGCAGACACACATGCAGCGTTCCCAAGTCTGAGCACAGGACCTTCTTAGCGGGCAGGCGTCCGAGCCCTGAGTGCCTGCAGAAGGCGGTTCTGAGATGTTCCCTCTGGAACGTCTTCCCCTGGCAGTTCAAATCCATCCCCGTGCTAATTGGAGACTCCGAATGCAGCGGGGATTAAACGGGCACATGTGTTTATGCTGGTTAATGAGGCACAGAGCAGTGATTTCCAGATCTCTTAGGCAGGTGCTCCTTGCTGCTGTTGGTTTTTGCCATTTCTCAAGATGCTGAACTGTCCTAATTAATAAATATTTTTGCACTCAGATCTCCATGACTAATTTTTTAAGACCAAAAAATATGGTATTAATCAGAAAACATCCCAGGTGAAGATAAAAAGGGAGGCAGGGCAAGGCAGCCCATTGTTGGACAGGTTTTCAAGAATTTTAGCTAATTTGTTCTAAACACTTGACAGTAGGAGCTCACATTAAAAAAAAAAAAATCCTATATAATAAAGAGCTACTAAGCTAATTAGTAGAACAGAGCAACCATCCCTATGACCTCCCGGACGAAGCCGAGGCTGTGAGAGCCAAGCTCCTTGCATGAATTTCGTGCACCAGGCCTCTAGTAAGTAAATGAAAGCACAGCTTGAAGTAGAATGGGGATTCTGAGCCGAAAACCTCCCCCGTATAGACAGGTTCAGACTTTGTCCTTTTGAAATTGGGGTGGGGTCTTCCGTCAGATGAATGCTGAGGCTTAACCATTATTTACCTTACCTGCCGACATGCTGCCCACGGGGAGGCATTGTGACCGCAGTCTTACAGCCTGGCCCTGGATTCCAAAGGAGAATTAGGGGTGAGCTCAGGTTCCCTAAGAACACAGAGCACAACCTGAGTTAGTCCTCAGCACCTGGAATCGTCCACTGGCTTCCACCATCTGCTCTGAGGTGTGGACTCAGAAGCACGCCCCCGAGCACCTCTGGGCGTCCGCTCAGGGCTGGGAACAAGCCTTTCTGCAGGGGGAAGCCTCTGAAGGAGGCGTGTGTCCCTTCCCGCCCTCTGGACGGGCCTCGCCCTGCTGGAGAGAAGTCAGCCCCCACGTTGGAAGACGTGCAGAGGAGAAACATTGGCTTGAAATGTGACTCGTACAGTCTCCCTGAGGACCAAACAGGAACGGAAGACCTACTGTGTGCCGGCCATCGTGACAAGTGGCGGGGGAGGACCACACCCTTGCCATTTGCCATCATCCACACGGCCATTCAGTTCAGTCACTGCAGCCGCCGTCAGAAGAGCCAGCCCGAGAGCCACACCTGGAGTCAGGAGTGCACCCTTTTCCTCCTGAGAAACAGAATTAAAGGTGAAATACAAGAGATGGAGGGCAAGAAGGAGAAGAGGGATTCGCCCCACTGGAGTGGGCAGCAGAATGGGGAAGGGTTAAGAGGAGGGAGCCGATGGACTGAAGGCTGGAACCAATTCCAGTGCCAAATGGCGAAGAGCAGCGGTGAGGGCAGCACAAAGAGATGGGCTGAGGGTCACACAGGTGACAGTCCCAGGCACAGCCACGAGGGCGGCGCCAGCTGCGCACTATATGGTAAACTCTGCATTCCGCTTATTTCATCCAGGGACGTGTGTGCCACCTCCTGAGGAAAGCATTTTCTTGGCTATGTGCTAGAATTTAGAGATTTAAAAAAATACAGCATGAGTGTGTGTGTGTGTGTGTGTGTGTGTGTGTGTGTGAGTGTGTGTGTGTATGTGCATGTGTGAGAGAGAGGTGGGGGGAAGGAGAGGAGAGAAGAGGTAGAGGAGAGAGATGGAAAGAAACAGATAATATATATTTTTAAATGATAGACACATACTTTTTTATTTTATCATTTCTTAAATGATAGACGCATACTGCATGAGAGGGAGGGGGAGAGAGAAAGACATCGATGAGAGAGAATCATGGATGGATGGATGGGTTACCTCCTGCGCCCCCTAGTGGGGATCGAGCTTACGACCTAGGCCTGTGCCCTTGACCAGAATCTAACCCGGGACTCTTCACTGAGCCACACCAGTAGGGCAGGATACTAGAGTTTTAAAAAATTATGTTTTTATTACTTTTTAGGGAGGACGGGAGAGGGATAGAGAGATAGACACATCAATGAGAGAGAAATCCCCATCGAGCCTCCTGCATGCACCCCACTGGGGATAGAGCCCACAACCTGGGTATATGTCCTGACCAGGAATCAAACTTGGTTCATAGGTCAATGCTGAACCACTGAGCCACACCGACCTGCCAGATAGTAGAATTTTTTGAGCACTTGCTACTCTATGCACCAGACCGGAATGAATGATATGCCTGTGATTTTATTTATTTTGTCGCACATTCACTCCTTTCTCCCAAAAGCTCCAGGGTGTGGCTTTTAAAATGACAAAACAGTGATAGACTTCACTTGGAAAAGATGCCAGAGTTCTATTCTGCGCTGTTTTCCACAGAGTGAGTTGTTCTGGTTTATTACACGGGCTATTTTTAAAAAAAGAGGACAATGCACTTTTCCCTTTCATTAGCAGACTGGTAAGGAATCATGGAAGATATAGTCTAAAAAAAGACATGTATTTAACAAATCATCATTGATTTGATTTTTAATATATCATTTATAGAAGAACAGATGGTGGAGTTATAGTTATAAACAATGAAATACAAAAATCACCCAGCCTGATGGCTTTTAGTAGGCAATTTGCATGATGAAATTAAGTTGGGGGGAAAAATAGGATTCTTAATTCTACGGATGATATTCCTGGTACTTACCCTCCCCTCCCGTCATGATCCCATCATTTCTTCTCTCTCTCCTGGCTGCCTAGGCCCCTCATACTGTTCCTCATCTCCTGCTTCCTCCTGTTCAGTTTCTCTGCTATTTGGCGTTGATTCTTTTTAGAGATTTAAAATCAGATTGTGCTGCGAAAATCCATTTATGTTAAATAATTCATATGAAATAAAAGGACTGTTGAATGAAAGCACAAAATAGTTCGTTAAGAAGCAGTGTCGGCGTGGATGATGTCCTAATAAAGGGGCTTGGCCC